GTACATATTAGTAACAATAAGGTGTAGCAAAAAAAGGACAGTCATAAGTAGTTAGTTGTAACTTGAATATATCTTAGATCTGAGACTACCTGAGGCTTCAAAAAGTTGGTGGGAAAATTCCACTATCTTTTAATCCCGTTTTTCCATGAACTTTTTGAAGTCTCCTCTATTTCTGGTACAACCACACTAGGAAACTAAGACACCTTCTGAACAAAGGTTGATGGTTGAGTCCAACCAGAGAAACCTCAAAAGAAAGACCTGGTGGTCTACTTGGGAAAAATCAACCACTGAAGCCCTGTAGAGCATGGTTCTAGCCGGACACACAGTTCTACTTTGTCATGAGTTACATCTGTTCTGTGGTGGCTAGTTTGGGTACACTAATTGGTGGGCAGCAATTGTGGGCACACCTTCAGGTCCCACCTGAGAATGTCGTTGTCAACCTTGTGGTACTTGTACCTGCACCTGCCATGTCATCCTAATTTAGCTTCTTCAGGAATTTCCCACTATTTGATGTTTCCTTATCTCATATTTATTTGCTTTTCTTTTGCTTCAACCTGATGAAAGACAGTCTTCATCAGGTTTCAGGATCTGAGATCTTCAGGAGGAGATCCATGGGCGTGGCTCTTCATGAGTGCTGGGGAATGTGCAGAAATGCTCCAGTCTCTCTGAGTGACCAGCAGATTTTCCTGACAGCCCACAAGACTGCTTCTTACAAATCTCTTCCCCTTTTCAGACAGCTACATTCCAACTTCCCAATTTATATGATGTTGCTGCTGTTGCTGCGTGGAGTTGGTTCTGACTCATAGCAGTGACCCTGTACAGGATTTCTGAGGAACGGCTGGTGGTTTTGAACTACTGACCTTGTGGTTAGCAGCCCAATGCTTATCCTACAGTGCCACACCAGGACCCCATGTATATTACAGAGTTCCTCAAAATTTAATCACATGTATGTCAGTCCTTTGGAGCTCATGTTAAAATGCAGATTCTGAGAGTGCATTTCTCACAATCTCCCAAGTGAGGCTAATGTTGTTGGTCTGTAGTCACAGCAGAAGTAGGAAGGATTTATGGTAGCAAACATCTATAATAAAGTATTATTATTATTTATTTAAT